CCCCCCCCAACATTATACTATTTCACTACCTACACAAAAATTACCATGATTGCCCAAATGTTTGCCGTAGTCTAATATATCCACATAGTTCATTCCTGTTCCCCTAAATGTGTAATCTGAGGTTATGGGCGGATTGACCGAGTGGTTACCACTCCAGCCTTCCATGCAGGAGGCCGGGGTTTGATCCCCAAAGTTGTAATACGAATGGATATTCAGAGAAAGTGTTTTTCTCCTGCCCATACAACTCCAACAACTCAGGTGGAGTATGAATTGGTCCGGGGTGGATGTTGCGGTATCTGTGCTGTAGCTTTCAAGTGAGGTGGCACTATAAACGATGCTGTTGGAAGCACGGTCCTACTACAAACAGAACACATAACATCTCCAGCACACACGCAGGCATACTCACATAAGAAGATATTAGCTAGGTGGCATAAGACTAGTAGTTAGAGGCAGCTCCTATGAATTCCTCAAAATGGTATTGTGTAATGTATATGCTAATTGTATTGCTTAATGTAATTGTATTGATTAATGTATATGCTAATTGTATAGATTAATGTATATGCTAATTGTATTGATTAATGTATGTGCTAATTGTATAGATTAATGTATGTGCTAATTGTATTGATTAATGTATGTGCTAATTGTATTGATTAATGTATATGCTAATTGTATTAATTGAATATCTATGTACTGTAAAGCAGTTTAGAGTGGCTTATGTTAGTTGGATAGGGCACTATATCATATGCTGTATATTATTATTATTTTAACAAACATTCCTATGGATAACAAGGCAGTAGATGTATAACTTCTACTCACTCAGTACTTCCTCCTGCTCCTTACACAGCTTGTCCAGGACATCTACCTCAGCCTTTGCTGCTGGCAATTTTGCCTCGATTTCCTTAATTGCTTGTTCCGTCTTGTCCAGATTCTTCTTAACCATGTCCTGTGAGGCCAACGCCTCTAAATACTCTGCCTGGAATTAAAAAAAAACAGGTCATTTTAGGACAGATGCTACATTAACATGACATCGTGGACCTTATTCATAAAACTGTTCTCATATACTCAAGCATGCGTGGATTTTGTGCTCAAGCCGAATTTCTTGTTTCTGTTAGAAATTAAGAAAGAACAAAAATTCGTCAATGATTTGGAAATTATTATGGAGACATAAAGCAGAGACTGTGTTTAATGTTTGGATTGGACTTTTTGATTGACACAATTTCAGTGAGTTACGAAAAAGTTAGTTTCAGGACAGAATCGATGCTGGCTTGAGCAAGAGAACGGTTTCATGATATGGGCCCAGTTCATCTCCTTTCTTAAACATTCTCAACTGAAGTTTATATAATATCTTGTACGACTGAAACCTCCCCCCCCCCCCCCCTCACACACACACACACACTTAATTCAATCAATAGGCGACACTAACAATTAAGGTACGTAAGAATAGATGCAAAAGATATATTGTGTGATGTAGCGTACAATCTTTGAGCACTGACAACAGGTCTGATGTGTAAGGGAGATAACTCTAATAAAAATTCCAGCAGACTGGTATACTTGCCATAGTTTTCCTAGGCTGTTTTCGTTTAAGCGGTTGAACCGATCATACCACATTTGTTCGTTTATTAAATAAGGTCGGACCTAGTAATCTGATGCTGCTTTCAGGCGAGCCTTGACAAAGCCTTGCACGGCCTGCATCAACATTTGCAGGTACGCCAGTATTTATACCCGAAAATGTTGCATTTAAAAGCGCACAAACCAGTTGTTCCGCATAAACCAACAGGCCCTAGTCTCCGATAGGCTAGACTACAGAAATACAATGACATGTCAGGTCTACCAACCCTGCCGACTTGCTTGGCTGACATTTGTATCTCCATAGGGGCCCAGTATTCCTTTCCGATAATGCGTCTGACAATTTCGCAGAAAAAAAAGCAATTTCCTGATTGCCCGATTTCTCCACAGTATCGTTTTTGCGATCATGCAAACAATTCTACGTACTGCAGGTTGACTGTTTCAATTAAGAATGCATGTTTTAATCAGGTGCTCAACCTGTCAATTACATAAACTCACATCAACGATGAGAACAGAGCCCAATTCATTGACAGGGTACCAGGTAATGAAAACAAGAGGCCGAGAGGGCCTGTATCGCTCACATGGATAATAAAGCAACCATGGGAAATTATTCTTATTACATAAAATCCCTCCAATGGTACAGAAGAAAAAAGATTTTAAAGATTTAAACCTCAAATTTCCCTATTGGGCCCAGCAACTTTCAGCACCCAGAGGGGCCTCATCCTTTGTTTACACAAAATTTAGTCCCCTTTGCCCAAGGATGCTCCAGAATAAATTCAGATAAAATCCCTTCATCCCAATGGTAGAAGACGGATTTCAAAGGTTTTTACCTCTATTTCCCCTATTGCGCCGCGCAACTCTGCCCAGGAGGGCCACACCTACCGTTTATACAAAATTGAGTCCCCTTGAGGCCTCGTCCTTCGTTTACACAAAATTTAGTCCCCTTCGCCCAAGGATGCTCCAGACCAAATTAGGATAAAATCCCTTAATCCCTATTGTAGAAGAAGGTTTTCAAAGATTTTTACCTCTGTTTTCCCTATTAGGCCCTGCAGCTCTGCCCCAAGGGGGGCCATATTCAGCATTTATACAAAGTGGAGTCCCCTTGGCCCTATGGAAGAAGAAGGATTTTAAAGGTTTAACCTCAATTTCGGCCCTTATTGGGTCCCACAACTCTGCCCCCAGGGGGTCCACACCCACTGTTTATACAAAATTAAGTCCCTTTGGCTCAAGGATGCTCCAGACCAAATTGCGATGAAATCCTTTACTCCCTATGGTAGAAGAAGGATTTTAAAGGTTTACCTCTATTTCCCCTATTTGGCCTCACCCCTTTGCTTCCCAGGAGGGCTACTAGCACCTTTTATACAAAATTGAGTCCCCTTGGCCCAAGGATGCTCCAGACCAAATTAGGATAAAATCCCTTAATCCCTATGGTAGAAGGATTTTAAAGGTTTTACCTCTATTTCCCTATTGGGCTCTGCCCCTCTGTCCCATGGAGTCCACACCCACCGTTTATACAAAATTGAGGCCCCTTGGCCCTAGGATGCCCCCGACTGAATTTAGTCGAAATCTACTGTGCCGTTCAGGACAAGTAGCGTTTTAAAGGAAAAGTTGACAGACGGATGGACGACGAACGATGGACGCTGCGCCATGGCATAAGCTTACTTTCCCTTCGGGCAGGTGAGGCTGAAAAACCCTTGAAATTTTACTTTTTTAAACTGACTCTAATATGGTTACCATACTGAATATTTCATAATCAACACTGATGCATCATCTGACATACTCCCATACTGTTCCAATGTAAGCAAGAACCTGTACTTCAAATCTCCATATTTTATGCAGAACTCCACATTTTCCCGTATTTTTTCCAATGGAGAAATATGGAGAAATGCGGAAAACTATTTCCTCATTTATTATATTATTAAAGAACACAGCCTAGCGGGCAGATATGTTACTAAGGCAGGTAATCAAGTCTAAAAAATCCGGTCTTTTGCAAAAAGGAAATAACTCCAACACAACAATAGGTCAAATGTGTTAGAGAGATTACCTGAAGTCAAACAACATTACCAACATCTTGACTATTTCTTGTTTTTCCAATCATTATGAAAATAAAACATGCACAATCATGCAAAAAGGGGAAGCTTCATGTGAAATTTGAGAAAATCTCTCATGCACTTCTGGAGTAATAGCTAGTGATAACAAAAAGTGTTTAAGGATGGACAACAGACCACAGATGAGAGGCAATTTAAATAGCATAAAGTTAATTGGGGGGTGTGAACAAATTTTGATAATATTTGACCCGTCTTGAAGTGTGTTATTGATAGCAGTTACCTCCTCTTTATTCATGGCTTTTTCGTAGCCATCTTTTCCCTTGTCCAGCACTGTCTGCTCCATTGTCTTGGATAAATTATCGACATCACTCTTCTCTTTCGCCCTGTCATATAAATAATCCACACACCATTAAATGAAAGATTCTGGGGAAAATATCAATGAAAACAAAATATATTCCGTCCTGTAGTTTTAATTATGGATCATGCAGCTATAAATGTCATAACCTGTGCGTGGAGTGTTGTGAGAGAGTGATCTGCACAAGGATTTACCTACTCACGCCATTCCGCGTGTCGTATTCGTATGCGCACGTCACCACCCTGTGTGTCGTATTCGTATGTGCACATCACCAACCTGTGTGTCGTATTCGTATGTGCACGTCACCACCCTGTGTGTCGTATTCGTATGCGCACTTCACCACCCTGTGTGTCGTATTCGTATGCGCACGTCACCGACCTGTGTGTCGTATTCGTATGTGCATGTCACCACCTTGTGTGTCCTATTCGTATGCGCAAGTCACCACCCTGTGTGTCGTATTCGTATGCACACGTCACCACCATGTGTGTCTTATTCGTACACGCACTTCACCACCCTGTGTGTCGTATTCGTATGCGCATGTCACCACCCTGTGTGTCGTATTCGTATGCGCAAGTCACCACCCTATGTGTCGTATTCGTATGCGCACGTCACCACCTTGTGTGTCGTATTCTTATGCACTTGTCACCACCATGTGTGTCGTATTCGTACGCGCACGTCACCACCCTGTGTGTCCTATTCGTATGCACAGGTCACCACCCTGTGTGTCGTATTCTTATGCGCACGTCACCACCCTATGTGTCGTATTCGCATGCGCACGTCACCACCTTGTGTGTCGTATTCGTGTGTCGTATTCGTCTGCACACGTCACCACCCTGTGTGTCGTATTCGTATGCACATGTCACCACCCTGTGTGTCCTATTGGTATGCGCAAGTCACCACCCTGTGTGTCGTATTCGTATGCGCATGTCACCACCATGTGTGTCGTATTCGTATGCGCATGTCACCACCCTGCGTGTCGTATTCGTATGAGCAAGTCACCACCCTGCGTGTCGTATTCGTATGCACACGTCACCGACCTGTGTGTCGTATTCATATGCGCATGTCACCACCATGTGTGTTGTATTCATATGTGCATGTCACCACCCTGTGTGTCGTATTCGTGTGTCGTATTCGTATGCGCATGTCACCACCATGTGTGTCGTATTCGTATGTGCACGTCACCACCCTCATTCATTTCATACTAAGCTGCTGAGCAGGACGGAGCTCGTCCATCCTTCCCAGGTCCCTGGTAAGTCTTATTACATTTTATTTATAGTGTTTGTTATTAAATGTAATTATATAACAAGGCTTCACAAGTGATACAAATCCCCTCGCAGTCACACATTGTGTGCCATATGTATGAGGAAATGAATATTCAATGATGTAACAGTAACTGCTGTAGTTACTGCATCTGTTGAAGAAATTGTCATGGCAAACAATTGTATCAATTAAGTTTCATGAATTTCGGTTGAAGAATGTAGTCGATAGAGCGATAAAAAAGTTTTTCTAAAAGTTGTAACAGTGACCTTGCAGTAGCCCGAAACACAAACTGTTCAAGGTATTGTCATACCAAGCACTTGTATCAAGTTCCATGAAATATTGTTGAGGAATGCAGTCACTAGAGTGATGACAATGTTTTCCTAAAAATAGTAAGTGACCTTGACCTTCAATATAGAAACCTGAAACGCAAACTTGTACATACCTTAGGGCGGAATCCTATATCTCCTCGAAGTTTCATTGCGAGGGAATAATATCATATCATATATATATGTAGTCATGTCCATCGTATCGTAATGTGAAAGTAAACTGTATGTATGTAAATAAATTAATAGTTTATTTCATATTTTCGTTTCGTTTATATTTTGTTTGCTTAAAATTTCGTTTTATAAAACCACGAAATAAACAAAATTAAATCCCTAACGAAATTTTATGCTTTTACAGTATTTTGTAACTGTTAGTGATAGTTTCGTATCTTTCTGTTCTAAGGTTTCTGAGAACACTAAAGATATGTAGACCTTTAAAAGTCTATGAAGTCAGTTTTCCAAGCCTAAGGGCCACGGAGGGTTACAAATGTAAAATTCCAAGCAATGTATCAGCCATTGATATACTAGGTCATAAATACAAAATTAAGTATTAAGGGACAATTTTGTTTGTTTACTTTGACCTTTTACATATGTAGGCCTACTTTGTGACCATCAACACAATCCTAGGAGTAGAAACAAGCTGTACATGATCCATTCAATTTTTTAAATTTATTGTTAATTTGATATTTGACAAGGAAAATAAAGTGGAACAGTAGTTACTTACGTGGCTTTAGACTTTAGCTCAAACTGAGCCTTTTGTGTTGTTTGTTCCCCCTTGAGATTTTTCAGATGATTTTCAAGTTGTTCATAAGCCTTACGCGAGTTCTTAAGTTCCAGTTCATGGATTTTATTGTCCAATGTGACATACTTCTTAATGGTGTCAGCGCTTAGTGCCATGCTTTTTTATGTCAGCACCTAGAAGTTCCAATTAAAATATCTGTTCACAAAAAAAAAGTATATAAATATGCATAGTATATATTGGTGGGGTTAAAATCATTTTACTCAACTAAAATACCTCTTTCTAGGCAGCGATTGGTGGCAGCCGTGTACATATTCTTTCTTGGCCAGACATTGGTAATGTATACAAAGACCCCTTGATAACTGATGATGACAATTATCATCAATTAACTGCAAATACGTATTCTGATAAAATGAACCTTTGCAATTGAAATAAAAATGATTGCAATTGCCAACATCACAATTTATTTTTCCCCATCAATTTCTGAAATAAAATATTTAACTTACTAAAATTATATACTTGGTTATTCTAATTTCCACTTCATCTGAATCATCATACAATACTTGTATAACAGACATACTATACTGGTTGGTCGGGTGGTGCAGTGGATAAATCCACCCTGGTGACCGGGTTTGATCCCAAGATCGAATGTGAAAAGGTACGGGGTCATCTACCCGTACCCAACCTTGTGGGGTATCTCGATTCTCTGGGTCTTCCAGTTACCTCCCATATTAAGATCCCACACACACTAACATCCGGGCCATCAAGGGTGATTAATATAAGTTGAAATTAGTTTCAATAAACTTTATTTATATATTAGACACATGTCAATTATATGAGCTATTGCATCTCAATAATAATGCCCGTTTCAAGTTGCCTTTTTAGATTAGATATGTTTAGATATGTTTTAAATGTGTTTGCATGAAGCATGATGTACATCTGTGATTATGAAGCTAGCTGCTGCTCCTGCTTTTGTGCTTTATTGTGTTAGCTTGTGTACTGAAGTATGCTTTATATGTATCTTAAAATTTAAGATACATATAAAGCATACTTCAGTACAAGTTTTCAAACATAAGTTTTCAAACATTTTTGTGATATATTATCAGCCTGTGATATGTTTCTAAATGTATCTGTGATTATGTTGAATATATGACCTTTTATAAGAATAATAAGAATATAAAAAAATCCTGAGTTANAAGTTGTTCTTTTATATCTTTCCTTCATCTCATAATCAAATTATAAGCAAATGTGATCAATAAAAAAATGAAATTCAAAATGTGATAAATGTAAAATGCCACTTTTACCGCATCAAATATTATTATTATTATTTATATAAATTTAAATATGTTTATTGGATGCTTCATCTCTATTTGTATCATTTACAGCATGAGTATATCTTGTTTAATTAATGAAACCTTGTTTTATGTATGTTTTATTTATTATGTCGATTGTAAAAGCTCACTAAACGAGCTTGTGTTTACAATGTATCTTTGTAATCATATCGACGTTAAATAAAATTTACTTGACTTGAACACAAACAAGTGCAATCCCCTTATAAGTTATTTATAATTAAGTAATTTAGAGAATGCAAGTACCCCAATCAGAGTGTATTTTTTCAACTACAAACGATAGCCAAGCTAAACTATATTACGAAATAATTATGATGTACTGATAAAGGTATTTCGCAATCATTTTAATTGATTTAACTGCGTTTTAATATACCTTCATTTACGTGTGCTAAACTTTATCTTAAGCGCTTGTACTTCTATAAGGACGAATGTGTGTTTTCCAGCATTATCTAATTAGGAAACCCCCCTTGAACAGAAACTGGAAAATCTCCCGGCTGCCACAGTCCGACCGGTTTGCCTGCAAGTACCTGCATGAAGCCGACATCTTGCAATAATTTACTGACATTTACTTGCTACTTATATCCATAAAATAACGAATGCATAACTTCAATGCAGTACAGCGCTGATCATAAAACAAAATTCTATCTAGATTGACATGATAAAACATCGGGTCATAAACGAGATCAACGAACAGTTTGCCCGTTTGCAAATAACCGTTTATGTATCATGGTTGTTTTCTTGTGTACCACGATGATTGATGAAAAATACCTTGCTGTATATTAGCTAAATCTTTAAAGGTTTTATAATTACCTTATTAGGTTAAATTGAAAACCTGCAGCAGAAACGCTCCACCTGTATCAGAAATAAAATTACAAGCCGCCAAACATTGTTTACGGAAGTGACGTATTGTATATGCTCACCATAGAGATTACAACAACGTGTCGTCTAATCAATAAACCAGACCAAACGGAATGACGGTTATTATCCGGAACCTTTAGACTTACAGATAACATTATTTGAGAAAGAATCAATAAATCAATAAAGCGTCTAGTTAACTTTTAATCACGTTTATTTGTGCAAATAGATACAATTCAATGTGAAGCTACATACATTATTTATTTAATTAATATCAAGCACCGATATTTAATTCCACAAGGACTTATTCAGCCAGAATGATATTGACTGATGTGATACAGGTGCTATAGAAATCTTATTTTGAAGGAGATACCAAAGGTTTGAGTAAATAATGTAATTTTTTTGTGTAAATGTCACTTGTTTGGCTTAAAAGCATTCATAATATTTTCTGTACAGTATTCCAGAGATATTTTAATCATATATACATAGATGATATCAAATAAGTTCCATTCATATTAAAAAACAGCTTTCATCAAATTCAGAATTAGAATTGTGGCAGATTTTTATCATAGGATTACGGTCGCCTTCAAGCTAGAGGGAATTTCCCTTGAGCTTAGTGGTAGAGCGTCTGACTACTTAGTCTGGGGTCAAGGGTTCGATCCCCGGTGGAAGCACACTATTCTCTTTCCTGTTACAAAGTGTCTGTGGCCCTCCCTGTGGTGACACATAGTTAGAACCTGGGTTGTGGTGTTCGGGGGTGAACACATTTAAAAAGTGGAGTAGTGTGCCAGATTTTAATTGTACATAGCTAGGATTACAGTCGCCTTCTAGCTTCAAGCTAGAGGGAATTTCCCCTTCATCTCAGTGGTAGAGCGTACGGCTAGGAACCTAGGGTCACAGGTTCGATCCCCTGTGGAAGCACACTATTCTCTTTCTTGTTACAGAATGATTTTAGGATCCCTCCAGTACTAGTTATCACGAATACGCCAATAACTTTTTTAACCTGGTCGCAGGGTAGACGAGTGGTTGAACTTGCGGTGTTATCTGAATACCTGGACCAGAAATGTTGTATGGAATGCAGTATAGGCTACGGTTGTGCAATACCAACAGGAAAGACATTTTGGCCTGGAAAGTATTTTAAACATACAAGTACGATCACAATAGTCAGGATTATATTCTATATTTGTTACCACAATATCGTATGTTGTTATTTGTACATAACGTAAAAGTTTATTATTGCTGTATAGTGTGATATTTGTTAAACCACAATATATGTTGTTCTCTGTATATAATGACAAAGTTTATTATTGCTATATGGTGGGATATTTTTTATATCACAATATGGTATGTTGCTATCTGTACATAATGTAAAAGTTAATTATTGTTGTATATAGCGTGATTTTATATATCACAACATAGTATGTTATTTGTACATTATGTAGAAATTTATTATTGTTGTTAAGTATGTGGAACTTTGTTATTGTTATTCAATGTGACATTTTTGCTATGACACAGTAAAGTACATTGTTTGTTATACTGTTATTCATACACAATGTGCAATTTGTTTTATATTGGTTATTACATTTGAAGTAATTTTATTGGTTGGTAATGCCTACTGTATTACATTAGTATACAAAAAGTGCTATATTGTATGTTGTAAATTGTATATATGACTTTTGGGGATTTAGAATTATTATTGGTACAACTGTAAGAGTTGTCTCTCTTTTTTTTTTTTTGTATAATAAGTCAGTCTGCAAGATGTTTATTTTTTGTCACCTATATTTTCTTTTCATCGTCCTAAACGTGTTGCATTGGCACTCAGAATATTATTGATTCATGTAATGGGCATTTTTGTTTGTTTTAGTATTATTGTTAGAAAATTACTGTTTTTTTGTTCATCAATATTGACATTGTTATTATTTTTTATGTGTTATATTTCTAATAAACCATTGTTGCATCAAATAAAATGTATTTTGTTTCATTTTGTTCAATTTAAAAAATAAATTGAAATCTGAAGAAACTCCCGCAAGGTATGGGTTATTGTTCAGAAATGATTTGGTTATGCAATAGCGATGCCGTTGAAAATAAAAACAATGCCTCATTGCATTTTTAGGCGGAGGGACGGGGATCCTTAAATTATATATATTATTCAGTTACTTTGCAGAAACTGTCAACCAATAGGAGCTGAGTTTGCAAATCAATTATGCAGATTTTTCAACTTTGAACTTGCCTTGTTTTGCATGATATGTTCGACCAAATTTTGCTCATATTTGCATACACTTAACATTTGTCTTTGCATATTTTACATGCTTACCAAGTCTCATTAAAACTAAACGATATCTCAGCAGGCTAATTAATAATCTTGAAGAAATTAAAGTATGGGTGTAGACCAATCATACCTCACACCAGTAACTTTAAAAGTGGACCAATTTTGGTAATTTAGCATTGTTCTAAAAAAAATACACAATTTACATATTTGACCCCTGTGACCTTATAAGTGATGCAAGGTCATTCATTTGACCAAACCACGCATGGTACTAGCTAAATAACTTTATCATAGATAAAAAAAAGTGTCGCCAGACATTTGGACAACAGAGGGATGGATACCGCACCACAACACAATCTCAATAGGCCTTAGGTTGTGGAATATTCCTGGAACCTGATCCTAAATTGGTAAGAGTTGCGATGATCACTGTGATTAACTGAGAAATGTGTAGTAAGTTTTATATCACTCTGCATCTTAAGGATTCCTGTCCCACTGCACTGTGGATTGTCCTATATAGAGTAACCTCCCCTTAACTTCCGTTTTGTTATAACTGTAGCACAATTTGACAAGGACACTTCCTTAACCAGATACATGTAGTACAATCGGTGATAGTATAACAATCTGAAGTCCAGGGTTCGTTCGAATCTCGGTCTAGCCCTGAAGACTTTTTACACTGTTTATGTCATCTTTATTATTTCTCATAAAAATCCCCCAAGGTACGGTTCTCTTTTCAGAAATGATTTATCAAAGCCACAGTCAAGTCAGAAATAGAAGTCTCCAACACTTGGTTGCAAATTTTGGCTGTGGTATTGGGATCCTTAAGATGTAACCTCCTCAACTGGAATCTACACCAGTTATACAACAACCTATTTTCAGTTCCAGGGGTAATTTTTTTATTTCAAATCTTAAAGAAAGCTGAATATTAAAAGAATAAAATTCACAGTAAACTTTGAACAAATTTATTGAATAGTTATTACATATAGGCATAAACATTAAAATGACACTGATGTTAGATCCTGTTATAAAAAACACACAAACACTTACAGCTCTTGAGTAGATTTTAAAAATACATTATTTTCAAAGTGAATTATCTTTTGCCGATTAAATATTACCATGATATTGTAATCTTTCACACATCATTGTGGTGTTCTGATTGGAATCAATCGGTCTTTGCCGAGTCACAAACTTGACACACCAGATATTTGATAACAACAATTTTTGTATTTTGCTAATACCGTACGAAAGTATTTTGGTCTGTTTCACGAGGCACATGTAAGTTACGAGTACACGTAAATAAGTTATATACGCATCGTGAAACGGCACCCATCAACATCAAGTAAATTAAATTATTATAATTTTGAACCAAAAAGCGTCCCTGTGCTCACCCACTCCTCTTCCCGAATCCTGTAGATAGCATATTTCTTGAATATCCCACAAATCGTTTTCATATTCTTCAGTTTCACAGACAGCCGAGTTTTTGATGAGTATGAAAATAAATCACTCTTACTTTCATTAAGTTCCTCACAATAATTTTCTTGACAACGTGTCAATCTCATTTTCTCCAAGTTCTCTCCAACAGACCTGGGTCCGTATCCAAGTAACCATTCTCATGCTCAAACTCTGAAAAATAGACAAAACTTCATATTGTGGTCTATGATTTAGAAGAATTTTGGAGAGTCTTCAACCCAGATACCGGGTAAAATTTTCAGACATCACTATTTTTTTGTGTTGCATGATTTTAGCGAGTTACAAGAATGTTTGGTTGAGCACGGACTCCATGCTTGAGCATGAGAACGGTTTCAGGGCCAGGATTAACAGTATCGATGCTTGAGCATGAGAACGGATTCAGGGCCAGGATTAACAGTATCGATGCTTGAGCATGAGAACGGATTCAGGGCCAGGGTTAACAGTATCGATGAGGAAGTCAATGCTTTCACTGATGACAGAATGAAGAGTCCAATGTAAGTCTAATGAACTGTAGAGATCAGGGTTTCCAGAGTTTCAAAAGTCCGTCCTCGGAGTAGGTTCCTATTAAATTCTGATGTGGGTGATGTGCTATGCCTATTACATCTTTTTCGTGTACCTGAAATAGCAAAAACACACTAAAATGACAACATGTAGTAATGGGTATACAGGGCCTTTTCTAGTTTAATTGAGAAAAGGCCACTTTGCTTATTTGTGAAATGTTTTTGACAAACAAAAATGTAAGTGTTCAAAAAATAAAAAATATCATATTATAGCTTGACATAACTCTTCTGTCCAATATTCCAGTTGAAAATATATTTATCTTGGAGAAAAGCATAATTTTCTTCATTTAAAGTGTCTTCTCTGTGATTTAAAAATTGGAAAATGGGGAAAAGGAAGTCAATTTCCCATTGAGAATGGGGTCTTTTATCAGCCGGATACACCACAGATAAATCCCTGGTATCCCACAAAAAGTAATACATGTATTGCAATATATTCTGGTAAATACGTACATTACTAGGTGTGACCCCTATTCTTTTCTTAACATCAATTTCCTCTCCAGATTTTCTGCTTACACTAAAACAGTCTACACCCTGACCCTCCCTCCCCCTCCGATCCTCTACCATGTATGACCTCCTTATATATATTGCCTATACTTATCATCAGTGTTCTCTCAAGCTTTTCTATGTTTACACTGAAACAAACCATGCTCCTCTCCCCTTCCCCTTCTTTGTGTGACCTCTAACCTATACTGCCTATACTTACTGTCAGTATTTTCTCCAGCTTCCCATATTTACAATAAAGAGTCCATGCCCCCTCTCCCCTCTATGTGTGACCCCTGACCTATACTGTCTATACTCACCATCAGCGTCCTCTCTAGCTTGCCTGTAGTTACACTGAAACAGTCCATACTATACCCCTATCCTCCCCCCTCCCCTCTATGTGTGACCCCTGACCTATGCTGTCTATACTCACCGTCAGCGTCCTCTCTAGCTTGCCTGTGGTTACACTGAAACAGTCCATACTATACCCCTATCCTCCCCCATCCCTTCTATGTATGGTTTGTAATATATACTGTCTATACTCACCGTCAGCGTCCTCTCTAGCTTGCCTGTGGTTACACTGAAACAATAAAGCACCATATCCTCTCCCGTACAGTAGATCCATTCTCCTCGCGGTGATACAGTGGCACACACAAAATCTCCTCCGTCTCGCTTACCGCTGGAGAAACTTCTCACAATCTGTAACACAAAATCAGCATCCCAGTGGATCGTTATGCCGAGAATTCACAACTTCGCGTTAGTCTTGCGACAGGTAACATGACCTTGTGATACCTGTTTGGTGTTATAGCCCAAACCTGTCCAGTGATGTCTCCTATAAGGATTAGCATAGTGAAGGACATTCATCTCTAACGTGGAAGTAAATGTTAAAGAAAATTGCAGCTTAAATCCCTATAATAGCCACTGAAAACACATATTTAAACAAAGTATTTCAATTTTCATTCTTTCCCAGATTCATTAATTTTGTGTGTCATGTTTCCGATTATCAGCCAATAACAGCCCTTGTTAGAGACACTAGTAATAATCAATATTAAAGGGGAGATAATCAGTGATTTGGAACAGAGGGAATATAACTAGTGGTTCAGTACAGAAATAGCGACTGGCCAATAACTTGGTTTAAAAAAAAACAATAACTGAATATATCTAAAAGGTTACAGAGAGGGGAGATAACCAGAGGTAAGGTTACAGAGAGGGGAGATAACCAGAGGTCAGGTTACAGAGAGGGGCGATAACCAGAGGTAAGGTTACAGAGAGGGGAGATAACCAGAGGTTAGGTTACAGAGAGGGGAGATAACCAGAGATGAGGTTACAGAGATGGGAGATAACTCAAAGAACACCCACCTGTCCCTGCATGTTCATGATGACGACTGTGTTGGACCTGTTACAAACAACAAACTGTTCGGCCATCCTGGGTAGGAGATGTATACTGTGTACGGTGATGTCAGTCCCCGTGCCCCCGAGGGGTTTAAACGTGTTCTGACACTCTGTCGTCTTCACATTCCACACCTTCACTGTGCCGTCAGAACTTGCACTGAAACGTTAAATAAAGAGACCTGGGTTTATGTAATGTTACAGAGGTCATTATATTTCCAATGCCTCTGCTACGAGTGAAACCCGGAACCTCTGGTTTACTAGTCTTACTGAATGAGCAGAAGAGAAATTCTCCCTAGCTGTGTCGGTAGGAAGCGGCTAGTATTTTACCAGAGTGGCAATGTCACGCCAACAAAATACCAGCCACTTCCTTCTGACTCGGCTGGGGAGAGTTATCTCTTTAGCTCATGCAGAAAAGCATAAGACTAGTAAACCAGAGGTCTGTTACAATAATGTTTCGATTACCAAATTTACAAAGATAACTTGATTAACAAAGATGACTGTACTAACAATACAAAGGGATATTCTAATTACTTTAATTTTCACCTTCTATTGCAGTAATCTATTTTCTACTGTCACATCTATGTTCATAGTGGATAGTTCTTGTTATCATATCAGCAAATAGATCTATGATTTTCAATGAATTAGGCCACGTCATTTAACCCTTTCACCACTGTAGACCATAATGGACTCATCCAGATCAATGCATGGAAGAGTCTACAAAAGTTACATGGGGGTGAAAGGGTTAAAAACTAGACTTGTAAGGTAAAGACAAATTTATACCCCCTGCTTTGTCATGAAAACGGTCAAAATGAAAAACATACAGTAATGTTTATTAGGAGCTGAACAAGTAAGATTTATCATTTAATTGACCGATCATATGCTGTTCTTATAAAATCAGTATTAAATACATTACCTGATGGGTACAGTTTTTGTAATACATGTAATCTTATGAAACCACAACCGAATCATTTTTACAATTATATCTGTTCATTAAATATAAACTGAATTTTAAACTTTCCTGACTGGTAGTCTGTACTTGCCTGATAACGTGATGACCGTCGGCAGTAAACACAGCATCGTTGACAAAGGAGGTGTGACCTCTGAACTCCTTCAACGTTTTCCCTGACTTTAAACCGTTGATTCTGCAATAAAAGTTTTTGTAAAAAGTATTTCTTTAATTAAAACTATCCTCCTTGACACTCCAGGTGTAACATTTACTGAAGCTCTCTGCACCCCTAGAACACGTCATGACAAAATCAAAGTCTCATTCTCGATGATAAATACCAGGGATGCAGAGAGCATAAGAGCAGAACCCACAGAGTATCGAGGATGTAACACTATTAACATCCTTAACTTTCCACAATTTCAGCCCATATATTCTACAATAAAGGTATTTTTTTTAAATACCATAATATTCCTTGATCTGTCTAAACTTTGACCCATGGATTCTGCATTTATGATATTGATATTTCTATCACCAGGGATCACTCTGGGCCGCGATATCGCAATATTCACCCCTCTTTTTCAGAAATATCGCACGAAATTTCTCAAAATGGGATTAAATGTCTTTTGGTCTTTGTCTTTGGATCGCATACTTTCTGAGTAAACGCGATTTTAACATTAAAAGTAATAATGCCATCTACAATCACGTCGGACTGGACATCGTTTCTCGTGCGAATTCAAAGCGGAAGTACAGTAAGTCGTTGTTTATCAACCACATGTTACCTGTACCCCGAGTCATAATCACTCAGACGCTTGCTTGTTAAACGCTTATAGAAGTGAAGTGTAAGATGATCCAGACCTCGATATGCCTAACGTAGAATAAACAGATTTAGAACGGCATTCGGACAATTTAAGCTAAATATATCGTACAAATTATTTTATGAAACAGCAATCTCAGCCCAGAACTCGTTGACAACTTCCTCAGGAACAGGGTGTCAGGGGAGCATTGTGACCAGCAGATGCGGGTCATGATCGGTGACCTTTACAATTACAATTTGAACATAGGGGGGATCCCTGTATCACAAGTGATAGAATATATCTTAATTATCCCTGTTAATAAAATTTAATATCATTTCTTCCATAAATGACACAGGGTTTAATCTCTGCTTTGCAATCTTCTCCAAACTGGATTACTGAAATCATAACACCTTAAAGGCCACACAGTCGAAACCGGAGACATCAAATCATGCATTAAATAACCGTGAGATTCTGTTTTGCCTTTGCATGTGTTATGGAAGGGAACAGGCCCCCAGGGAAAAAGTCATATTTCATTGTTGTCTACTTATTCATTACAATAATGATATGGCTTTTGAAGCTTACTGAATATTCATGTCTACTGTGTAGTTATAGCCCTATACAGTCAGACATTTCCAGTAACAATCGTGTTACCTGATGGTCTACTGTGTAACTATAGCCCTTTACAGTCAGACATTTCCAGTAACAAACGTGTTACCTGATGGTCTACTGTGTAATTATAGCCCTATACAGTTAGACATTTCCAGTAACAAATGTGTTACCTGACGGTCTACTATGTAGTTAAAGCCCTATACAGTAAGACATTTCCAGTAACAAGGGTGTTACCTGATAGTCTTCTGTGTAATTATAGCCCTATACAGTCAGACATTTCCAGTACCAAACGTGTTACCTGATGGTCTACTGTGTAGTTATAGCCCTATACAGTCAGACATTTCCAGTACCAAACGTGTTACCTGATGGTCTACTGTGTAGTTATAGCCCTATACAGTCAGACATTTCCAGTAACAAACGTGTTACCCGATGGTCTACTGTGTAATTATAGCCCTATACAGTGTGTAACTATAGCCCTTTACAGTCAGACATTACCAGTAACAAACGTGTTACCTGATGGTCTACTGTGTAGTTATAGCCCTATTCAGTAAGACATTTCCAGTAGCAAACGTGTTACCTGATGGTCTACTGTGTAGTTATAGCCCTATACAGTCAGACATTTCCAGTAACAATCGTGTTACCTGATGGTCTACTGTGCAACTATAGCCCTTTACAGTCAGACATTTCCAGTAACAAACATGTTACCTGATGGTCTACTGTGTAATTATAGCGCTATACAGTCGGACATTTCCAGTAACAAATGTGTTACCTGACGGTCTACTATGTAGTTAAAGCCCTATACAGTAAGACATTTCCAGTAACAAGTGTGTTGCCTGATGGTCTACCGTGTAATTATAGCCCTATACAGTAAGACATTCCCAGTACAAATGTGTTACCTGATGGTCTACTGTGCAACTATAGCCCTTTACAGTCAGACATTTCCAGTAGCAAACGTGTTACCTGATGGTCTACTGTGTAGTTATAGCCCTATTCAGTAAGACATTTCCAGTAGCAAACGTGTTACCTGATGGTCTACTGTGTAACTATAGCCCTTTACAGTCAGACATTTCCACTAACAAACGTGTTACCTGATGGTCTACTGTGTAGTTATAGCCCTATACAGTCAGACATTTCCAGTAACAAATGTGTTACCTGACGGTCTACTATGTAGTTAAAGCCCTATACAGTAAGACATTTCCAGTAACAAACGTGTTACCTGATGGTCTACTGTGTAGTTATAGCCCTATTCAGTAAGACATTTCCAGTAGCAAACGTGTTACCTGATGGTCTACTGTGTAGTTATAGCCCTATACAGTCAGACATTTCCAGTACCAAACGTGTTACCTGATGGTCTACTGTGTAGTTATAGCCCTATTCAGTAAGACATTTCCAGTAGCAAACGTGTTACCTGATGGTCTACTGTGTAGTTATAGCCCTATACAGTCAGACATTTCCAGTAACAATCGTGTTACCTGATGGTCTACTGTGTAACTATAGCCCTTTACAGTCAGACATTTCCAGTAACAAACGTGTTGCCTGATGGTCTACTGTGTAATTATAGCCCTATACAGTGTGTAACTATAGCCCTTTACAGTCAGACATTTCCAGTAGCAAACGTGTTACCTGATGGTCTACTGTGTAATTATAGCGCTATACAGTCGGACATTTCCAGTAACAAATGTGTTACCTGACGGTCTACTATGTAGTTAAAGCCCTATACAGTAAGACATTTCCAGTAACAAACGTGTTACCTGATGGCCTACTGAGTAATTATAGCCCTATACAGTAAGACATTTCCGGTAACAAATGTGTTACCTGATGGTCTACTGGGTAATTATAGCCCTATACAGTCAGACATTTCCAGTAACAAACGTGTTACCCGATGGTCTACTGTGTAATTATAGCCCTATACAGTAAAACATTTCCAGTAACAAGTGTGTTACCTGATGGGCTACTGTGTAATTATAGCCCTATACAGTAAAACATTTCCAGTAACAAGTGTGTTACCTGATGGTCTTCTGTGTAATTATAGCTCTATACAGCAAGACATTTCCAGTAACAAACGTGTTATCTGATAGTCTTCTGTGTAATTATAGCCCTATACAGAGTAACAAATGTGTTACCTGATGGTCTACTGGGTAATTATAGCCCTATACAGTCAGACATTTCCAGTAACAAACGTGTTACCTGATGGCCTACTGAGTAATTATAGCCCTATACAGTAAGACATTTTCAGTAACAATGTGTTACCTGATGGTCTACTGTGTAACTATAGCCCTTTACAGTCAGACATTTCCAGTAACAAACGTGTTACCTGATGGTATACTGTGTAACTATAGCCCTATACAGTAAGACATTTCCAGTAACAATTGTGTTACCTGATGGTCTACTGTGAAATTAAAGCCCTATACAGTAAGACAATTCCAGTAACAAATGTGTTACCTGATGGTCTACTGGGTAATTATAGCCCTATACAGTCGGACATTTCCAGTAACAAATGTGTTACCTGACGGTCTACTATGTAGTTAAAGCCCTATACAGTAAGACATTTCCAGTAACAAATGTGTTTCCTGATGGTCTACTGTGTAATTATAGCCCGATAGATTAAGACATTTCCAGTAACAATGTGTTACCTGATGGTCTACTGGTCTACTGTGTAACTATAGCCCTTTACAGTCAGACATTTCCAGTAGCAAACGTGTTACCTGATGGTCTACTGTGTAGTTATAGCCCTATACAGTCAGACATTTCCAGTACCAAACGTGTTACCTGATGGTCTACTGTGTAGTTATAGCCCTATTCAGTAAGACATTTCCAGTAGCAAACGTGTTACCTGATGGTCTACTGTGTAGTTATAGCCCTATACAGTCAGACATTTCCAGTAACAATCGTGTTACCTGATGGTCTACTGTGCAACTATAGCCCTTTACAGTCAGACATTTCCAGTAACAAACGTGTTACCTGATGGTCTACTGTGTAGTTATAGCCCTATTCAGTAAGACATTTCCAGTAGCAAACGTGTTACCTGATGGTCTACTGTGTAGTTATAGCCCTATACAGTCAGACATTTCCAGTACCAAACGTGTTACCTGATGGTCTACTGTGTAACTATAGCCCTATACATTAAGACATTTCCAGTAACAAATGTGTTACCTGATGGTGTACTGTGTAATCATAGCCCTATACAGTAAGACATTTCCAGTAACAAACGTGTTACCTGATGGTCAACTGTGTAATTATAGCCCTATACAGTAAGGCATTTCCAGTAACAATGTGTTACCTGATGGTCTACTGGTCTACTGTGTAACTATAGCCCTTTACAGTCAGACATTACCAGTAACAAACGTGTTACCTGATGGTCTACAGTGTAATTATAGCCCTATACAGTAAGACAGTTCCTGTAACAAGTGTGTTACCTGATGGTCTACTGTGTACTTATAGCCCTATACAGTAAGACATTTCCAGTAACAAGGGTGTTACCTGATGGTCTTCTGTGTAATTATAGCCCTATACAGCAAGACATTTCCAGTAACAAACGTGTTATCTGATGGTCTACTGTGTAATTATAGCCCTATACAGTAAGACATTTCCAGTAACAAGTGTGTTACCTGATGGTCTACTATGTAGTTAAAGCCCTATACAGTAAGACATTTCCAGTAACAAGTGTGTTACCTGATGGTCTACTATGTAGTTAAAGCCCTATACAGTAAGACATTTCCAGTAACAAGTGTGTTACCTGATGGTCTACTATGTAGTTAAAGCCCTATACAGTAAGACATTTCCAGTAACAAGT